TTATTATTTATTTTTAATAATACATTATTTCAATCATTACCCACAACAATATTTATTTATTTAATTTTCATTGCAAGGAAGGAGCATTTGGAGGGAAAATGTCATAATTTGAAGAAAACAACTACTTTTAAAACTTTTAAAGTTTTAAACTGTTCAAAACTATTACATTTTAAAATCTGGTCCTAAAAATAATAAATTTATAAATAACTAAATAATCTTTTATTGAAGTATCTTTCAATTTTGAGATGAAATATAACAGACATGTTCTTTGACAAGTTTGGTGAGATTCACACAACTGCATGTGCATGTTCCTCACGATATTGTTTTGTAGATAGGGAGGCGTCTGTTTTGCTGTGATATCATAACAGCTGTGACTCTGAACGGACCTTTCCTCTCTCTCTGCTAGCTGGGTGGAAGCAGAATAATTCGTTCTCTCCAGGGCGTCCTCAGATTTCATGTGTTAAACCTCTGTTCTACGTCTAGCTCAAATTTGTGCCTTAAAACGGCAAACTAACTGACCTGTTTTCAGGTCAATTCCGCTGCCCACAACGACTACGGCCTTTGAACCCTGTAACTGTCCTGCTGGGGGTTGTTGAAACTCTCCGTCTGTGCAACCTCAGTCGTCACTCGAGAGGGAAAATGGAAACAGGCCACACAAATGCAGCGCTTAACATGCATTTAATCCGATTTTACATCGGGTATCTCCTTTTCACCCCCTTCCTCCAGGGATTTTGTGGCTTTCTTGTTAGCCGCGGCTTGTTTCATGTAACCGGTCTTGAAGCACTTCTCTTAAATGGGCTTCTACCGCAGAGTACCGCAAAACAAACAAAAGCACTCTGGATAGGCCAAAAATGAGCACGGAGGGCAAGAGCGCCCCACTATAATATATAAACAAGTGCCAGTGGGGGGATGTGGCTTCCTCTTGTGCTGTTTCAAGATCACTGGGGTTTTATAAGGGAAAAAGATTCCTGATGTTTTACATCAGAGGCGCTGCATAGAAAAGAGGACACATCCCTAACGTCTAACAGCTGGCTCTTGTGTGTCCACACACTGAGTCAGAGACAAAGAAGCACTGAGATACTCTTGTCATTAGCAAAAGTGAGAGGCTTTTGTCATTTTGTCGTAGTATTCGGGTATTTTATATTCTCTTAGCCTGGTCATAACATGTGCAGGCTTAAAGAAAGATGAAGATAGATCTACTGTTCAGATGAAGAGACTGAAGGAAGCAAAGATGGGTGTTGGCTTTTGTCTGTCCACAACACTCTGCATAACTTTAGCATTATGCATCTGAAATGCTGCTTGTGTAAAAACGGATTTAAAAGAACATAAATTATCAAATGCAGTGAAAGAACAACAATTGGTGGTTAGTACTGAAAACAAGCGTTTTGTCACATAAGTCAGACCAAACTGTCAGTGAAATGCTTCTAAGAACATGCAATAGATAGAAATCAGCTTTTTTTCAATAGGTTGTACATTCAACATATTGAACAGACATTGTTTAAAAGTTTGGGATTGGAATGATTTTGTAATGTTTTTGGAAGAAGTCTCTTATGCTAACCAAGGCTGCATTTATTTAATTAAAAAATATATTGTAAATTATTAAAAATATTGTAAAATATTATTACAATTTAAAATTACTTTTTTCTATTGAAATATATTTTAAAATGTAATTTATTCCTGTGATGCAAAGATGAATTTTCAGCATCTTTACTCCAGTTTTCAGTGTCACATGATCCTTCAGAAATCATTCTAATATGCAGATTTGCTGAAACAATTCAATCCTGCTTAATTTTCTGCAAAAACCGTGAGGCATATTTTTCAGGATTCTCTGATTAGAAAGTTCCAAAGAACTGCATTTATTTAAAATAGAATCCCTTGTCACTTTTGATCTCCTTGCTGAATACAATTTATTTAAAAATAAAAAATGCTGACCCTATAGTTTTGAACAGTAGTGTACAGTATGTCTATCTCTCCCAGCCTCTTTTTTATTGGAAAATTTTAATATAGCATCTAGCCTGGTCGTATAAGGTCTATAAGGACCTCATGTCACATTGTGTCACAGTGCTGCTGTCATTAAAGGTAAAGAAGTCAAACCACATACTAAGACATTTTGAAATCCATGTATATTTTTAAATTCAGACAAAAAATAGAGGCCTTTTCACTTGTCCTTTCAGACTTTTGGACCCCCACTCTATTCCCCTGCATGCAGCCAGATTGGTGACTGCCATACATGTCATCATGAATGGTTTTAACATGGTGTTGTTGAAACTCTCTGAGTCAAACCCTTGGAAGCCTGCCAACATGTCATACACACAGCAGCTATATGTGTATGAACAGACAAGAGTGAACATTATAGTGTCGTTAACTTGGCCATTTTGAGTTTTTATATAGGTCCATGAAAGTGTGTCAGAGCTAGCATGCATGTAGACAGCGGTGTTAGGGTTTGATTTATTGATTGTGAGAATGAGATGACGTTGGCACTTACATTATGAAACATTCCAAGTGCACTTATTCAAGATTATTTACCTACTGGTCAGAGTCAAAATATGTGGTTAGGCAAAATGCAACCTAGCCAAAAATGTTCTGGAAAGGAAGCTAAAGTTTCAAAATAAATATAAACTGTCAGGTTCTACCCTGTGATAGTGCGTCATTTTCCCTAAAATAACTTGTTACCAGCCAAAACAAATCCCTAAATACTTAGGCGATTCTGCTGTTATTGGCATTTTGTAGAAATATCTTGACTTTGCTGCCAGCAATTGCACTTACTTGGTCAATATTAATAGACTGAGGGCTGTGTCTTATTTAGGATAAAACTGCAAAAGTATTCTACAGTGCTCACCTTAATAACACCTCATAAAAGTGACAGTTTCGTCTATCACAATTTAATGCATAGAGACATATAGGTTGACAATGTGGCACTTTCTAAATTTCTCTGTTTGTTTAGGCAGTCTGACTTGTCAGTAAATTGTATAAATATGGGTCAGACAAGCTGAACAATTGAAGCCATTCACAATTGAAACCCATTATTTTGTAATTCAATCTGGTGCCACTAGGGGCACCAAAGCTACACACTTCACCTGGAAAAGTATTTACAAAATGCTTGGTCAAAATTACATTTTTTCCTTTTCTCTCTGTTCTCAGGATGGGATCCCACAACTGTACCCCCAGCTGGACCCACAACACCTCCGGTTCTCATAGACAGCCATCTAATCTCTTCCCTTAAAGCAGTCTCTTCTATGCCAGCCCATGGCACCACAGAAGAGCCACCATACATGTTCTCTGCAAGCATGGCTCCACGTGACAGAGGCACTCCTGAAGTGTATCCCTCTGCTAAAGCCATTGCTGTTGTACCAACTGAAGCTGAGAGAAATTTGGATATGGAAACCACAACATTTAATGACTATGAAGACAAAGACAGCTCCTTGGTGCAAGGGGTACCCCATAGTGTAGATAACTACTTTGCTGTCCAGTTACCCTCAGCTACACCTACCACACCTGAAATGCCACATTATTCAGATTCAGTCTCTTCTATGCCAGCCCATGGCACCAGAGAAGAGCCACCATCCATGTTCTCTGCAAGCATGGCTCCACGTGACAGAGGCGCACTTGAAGCGAATCCCTCTGCTGAAGCCATTGCTGTTGTACCAACTAAAGCGGAGAGAGTTTCGGATATGGAAACCACACCAGTCCCTACTACACCTGAAATGCCCCATTATTCAGATTCCTTCTTCTCTATCCAGATTCAACGTCAGCCCACCGCAGGGAACATGCATCCTGGGTTGGAAACTCCGCATGGGGGAGACAATGATGTGGAGGGTAGCAGCAGTGGTGACATGGATACTTCTGGGAGTGTGATTCCTACTTCACCTGTGTTTACTACAGACTTGCAAGGAGATCCAGACAAGCCAAAAATTGTGTACAAAGAGGATGAAACCACAGCAAACATGACTGAAGGAAGTCTTGACTTGGCTGAGTCCACTTTGCTAACCCCAGATTTAAGTAAAGTGAACTTGCACAGCCAACAGATTGATGCCAAGAAGGACGATGACTTTCCACTGGGCATCAATGTGTTCATATACAACATTACGCAGAGAAATCAATCAGGTAGGTCAGATGGAAGTTCAGACAATTTTGTCTATGCAAAGTTCAAAGTATGTGCAAAAAAGTTCACTTAGTATGTGCAAAAAGTTCATATAGAAGCTAATTTTACCAGAGCAAGACAGTATCCAAGTATACAATACATTGACTTCTTGAACCAGTTTTGCTTGTCCTTTCCTATTTTGGTGTGGCAGTGTTTTTCTGTGATTGTTGCATGTCCAAAGCAGCATGTTGTAAATGAGTGACTTGGTTTAGGAAACACTGAGATGCAAAATGAATGTAGATCTTGGCTAAAGAGAGGCCACATTTGGCTCTGTCGAGATGCCTACTGCTGTCTTGCAAACAAAAGATTTGGACTTGGTCCTTTGATTTCATGCAATTGCTTTAATATTTGGTTTGTGCCAAATCTTTACCTCATCCAGAAGTATAGCTAAACTAGTGGTGCTGCCTATATGCATAAAGAAGAGAAGAGAAACAGATCTTCCATGCCTTCCCATGACCTTAATTGACTTCCCGTGTTGCTGGAAATAGTGATGACTGAGGTTGATAAACATCTGTAAATAGACTGCAGCCAGTGTTCCTGTCTTGTAGGTCCTGTGGGTCGACATTAATCAGTTGACCCATTTATACTGTGTGATACTTTTAAAGGAGCACCTACTCTAGTAAAACATCAGGGAGAGACAGGTTTTGGTTGTGAGAAAGAGTAGCTCTCAAAGCCACAGACAAATGCCTCCCGGGTCAAATGGCAAAGCCCCTTAAAACAATCAGAGAGGTAATCACTGCAAGCTAATTGCTTTTCCTTACCTCGTCCAGTCTACAGATCATGTTACCATGTGTGGCTGCTAGTGAATCCACCAAAGAAAACATAATATTTTGTTATGTATGTTATTGAGGACTTGAGGATGTAGTAAAATTTCTGGCTATATTTCACACATTTTAACTGCATAATGTAACAGTAGTTGGAATCACTTTGTTTAATTTTGAGCTATTTAAAAATGAAAAGGGTCTTGTAATTTTGCAGTATAGTGACTTTAGGGTCTCACAGGGACAAATCACTGAATAGAATTAATAATAAGCTTTTCTCTGAATATAAGTAGGGCCATTACTTATGTAAAAACAATCAGTAATATCTTGACTGCCAAAATCATAACTGACGTGAGGGTTTTATTTGCCTCAACTGAGACTCTAGCTATTAAGTGGAATATATATGCAGTGCTAGTGTCTAAGATGTCTATAAAGTAATTTGAAAAATTGGCAACATGAGGCTTTACAGTAGATTATTTTTGATAAGCGTTTGGCTCAGTATAAACTAACTCACTTAGGTGTGTGTAATGTCTTTTCATTTTTTGTTTGCAGTTGATGCTTTTGATACTAAAGCACTTGATGCTATTCTAAAATTCCTTGGAGAACCAGGGCTTTCTACTCCACTTATAACGGCTGGTGAAAGTGAGCCACCTTTAGGCAGTGGAGACCTTATAGGTGAAACATCAGCTTCTGTTACCATCACGCCAAAAGTGAGTTTCATTAACGGAAAGCACGAGTTGACTCTGAAACCAGACACTGACCAAACTCAGGAGGCTAGAGGAGACCAGTTTGACACTGCTATCCCACCAACAGAAAAAAACATCCCCGATGATGAGATAGAAATACTTACGGAGGATGCTGAAGGCACCACATCTTCCCCTGAAACAGACGAATCTGGCTCAACAACCAGAAGCCAAACTGAGCCTCATTTCTCAACAAAGAGCTTGGAAAGTATAACCATGACAGAGCTGCCCACATTTTCAACCAAATCTCCAAGCCAGGAAATGACCCCACAAGCCATATCATTAAGCATGCACGAAGAAGGTTCGGGGATGCGCACAACAGATGATGATGAGGAACTGACCGCCTTGGAAGGTTCTGCGGATGACACACTTCCAACAACTAATGACCCATTTGTGGTGGCTACCGACGAGACTGAAATAGCTGAAACAGAGAAGACTACACCGGCATTTGGGGTTGACTGCAATACCAAAGGACCAATTGTTACAACTCCAGAAGCCAGTACTGTAGAAATGAAGACAACAGAGAACAGAAAAATGAAACCAGAAACAGAAGATTTTGAAGGCTCAACCTCCACTGAAGACGAGGGCTCGGGACAAGATATATATGCAACAGAAGAATCAAAACACACAACTTTATCTCCATCTTTCACTGTTTCATCTCACAGCTTTACAAGTTCCTTAACAAGTGCTTATCCCAAAGAGCCAAGGCAACCTGTTAGTTTAGTTTTGCCCAGTATACAGCCTACGATTCGGGTGGTTTCAACTTTTCAAACAGAGGCAATCTCAGAAGAAAGCACTCCTTATATTACACACTCTGAGAAAGACCAAGACACAAGTACAACTAAGAGTCCTTTATTGGTGCCTGAGATTGAAAAAGATGTAAGTACAATCTGCACCATCTCTGAGGACATCAGCTCTGGTGATCAGCCAACTGAAGCATTCTCAAAACAACCTTTCTCTGCAACTACTGTTCCATCCCTTCTCATTCAACAAACTGAAGAAATGAGCGTTGGTGCATATGATGAAGCAACTAAAGTATTTGAAGGTTCTGCAGAAGACACAGCACCATTGATTTTCACTAGTGTCCAAACCCAAACAAAATTCACTACCCAAAGTTCAGAAACCACCATTCTGCCCACGGATAGTCTTAGAGCAGTAATGTCTTCCTCCCAAGAAACTGTTCTAATCCAAAAAACACCTTCAGAAGAGGCAACCACCTCAGTGCAGTCATCAGGGACTTCAGGCTCCCAAGAAACTGATTTAATCCAAGAATCACCTTTAGAAGAGACAACCACCTCAGTGCAGTCATCAGGGAATTCAGGCTCCCAAGAAGCTGATCTGATCCAAAAATCACCTTCAGAAGAGACAACAACCAAAGTGCAGTCATCAGGGACTTCAGGCTCCCAAGAAACTGTTCTGATCCAAGAATCCCCTTCAGAAGAGACAACCACCTCAGTGCAGTCATCAGGGACTTCAGGCTCCCAAGAAACTGATCTAATCCAAAAATCACCTTCAGAAGAGACAACAACCTCAGTGCAGTCATCAGGGACTTCAGGCTCCCAAGAAACTGTTCTGATCCAAGAAACACCTTCAGAAGAGACAACCACCTCAGTGCAGTCATCAGGGACTTCAGGCTCCCAAGAAAGTGATCTAATCCAAAAATCACCTTCAGAAGAGACAATCACCTCAGTGCAATCATCAGAGACTTCAGAAGAGATAACACAAGAAATATCACTTTCTACATTTGGATTCTCAATGGAGAAGCCTCTCACCTCATTTACCCAAGTTTCCAGTTATCCCACCACCAGTGTTGCTACAGACTTAAATGTGAAAGAGCCAGTTCAGGTCTTGGATAGGGCAACTACTTCTGCTACAGAAGACGTTTTCACCACCCCCAAAGCCACAAGTACTGTGGCATTTGAAGAGAATGTTGTAGATTATGAAGATGTGGCGGGTCCCTCAATTGTTGAAGGACAACCACCATCCAGGGAAGAGTTCACCACAAGAAAACCAGAAGTCTGGAGAGATTCCAGCTACACTGTTGAGAGCCATATGGAGGATTTGCAAGGTACAGTTCCACATAATATTTGTGTAACTCACATTGTATATTGCTTATCTTGTGTAGCGCTGTATTGATAATTTCGATAGTTCCTTTCTTGAGGTTTACAAAATAATTGAATTACTCTGCTTTGTAGTCCACTTATCCATAATGGACTTGTCCATCCACTAATGGATGTTACTTTGTTATTTTAGGTCTCACACTTTGCTTTGTCAGTGTGTGTGAAAATGGTGGAACTTGCTATTCTAATGGAAAAGGAAACACATGTTTCTGCATGCCTGGATACAGTGGGGAACATTGTGAAAATGGTTTGAAGCCTTTAATATTTGCAGTTTTATTCACTTTTGATTAACACGTTTAGAGTTTCTAAGTAAAGTAAGACATTTTCATATTGTAATTCCTCCAGACGTTGACGAATGCCAGTCAAACCCTTGTCGCAATGGTGGAACATGCATTGATGGGTTAAACTCTTTCAGTTGTGTCTGTCTGCCCAGCTATTCAGGACCCCTCTGTGAGCAAGGTATGAAATCAACGCTAACATGATGCTATACAGTTGTTTTAATTGGGCTTATATATGAAATTCTTGAAGGAATGTTTTTTTGGGCAACTAATTGTGGACTGTTGCATGATAGCAAGTTGCTAAGTGATTTTATCACGTCACTTTCATGCTAACGCATAATGCCTTCTGTATCTTCTGGTTTATTTTTGAAATGTTGCAATGATTGCATATTTTAAACATTTATCTGCCTGATTGCCTGATAGGTTTCCATTGTAAGTGGAAGAAAATATAACTCTTAAATTATTGTTAGGAGCTGTTGGATGGAATATGTTATGATTTAGGGTGCTAGTTTCTAAAAAAAGTGAGCTATGGCTGTTTAATAAATCCACTGAAGCAAACTGTATACATTATAGCGGTCAGTCCAAACAGTTAGAATGGGCAAACCAAACCACAAAGTTCACCACATCTGGCAGGCTTCATCCTCCAGAGGGTGTGCTGTATGGTGTCCATAGGAATGAAAGCACATTTGTGCCAACAATAGGGTTCAGAGAAAAGGTCACAGAGTCAGTGACAGTACTGCCTCTTCCCTTACACCCACCACACTTCTCACAAATGCTGAGCAATTCGATGAGCCATTGCAGAGCCAGCTGACTTACTTGGCATGGTCCCAGGAACATTAGTGTGACTATGTAAATGATGAGTACATTTTCCTTTAGTCGCCTCGTCATACTTATCTAGGCATGACTTGAGTAGGTCCCACATTTAGGTTGTGACTTTTAGAAGACTTTGGAAACTAATTAAAGCCAGCTTGAAATGACATTTGCAAAACACTGAACTTCTGTAATGTGTGTATTTTAGTGGAATATTCAGCAGAAAATTATTTGATTGGGTTGAAATTGACATGTCTTGCTATGATATTATTAGCAGTGCTTGCTAAGGCAATAGCAATAGACCGGCTTAGATCTACATCTAGTTGCATTGAAAATTCTGTCATTAATTACTCACTCTCATGTCGTTACAAACCCGCAAGACCTTTATTCATCTTCAGAACACAAATTTAGATATTTTTGATGAAATCTGAGAGCTTTCTGACCCTCCATAGAAAGCAATGTAACTGAAATGTTCCCAGACCCAGAAACATTGAACATTGTTAAAATGATCCATGTGACATGTTCATGTATATTTTTGGTTATTTGTACACATAAAAGTATTTTTGTAGCGTCATAAAAATTACAGTTGAACCACTGATGTCTCATGGACTATTTTCACAATGTTCTTAGTATGTTTCTGAGTCTGTGAACATTTCAGTTACATTACTGTCTATGGAGGGTGAGAAAGCTCTCGAATTTCATCAAAAATATCTTAATTTGTGTTCCGAAGATGAACAAAGGTCTTATGGGTTTAGAATGACATGAAGTTGAGTAATTAATGACAGAATTTTCTTTTTTGGGAGAACTATCCCTTTAATAGTTTAATAGTTTAATAGTGTGGAAAAGTCTAAAAGAAATCACCAATTACAAGTCACCATCCCCCAGCACTGCGGTGAATCAACAACTGGCAGACGATCTGAATGAGTTCTACTGCAGGTTTGAAAAGACACGCCACACCCGCCCTGAACACCTCTCCACACAACCATTCACACCTCCAGCAACCCCCCTCTCCCCCACACCTGCAATTCAGATCAGCGAAGAAGAGGTGCGCCAGGTCTTCCGGAAGCAGAAAAGGAGAAAAGCACCAGGCCCAGACTGTGTTACACCAGTCTGTCTGAAATCCTGTGCTGACCAGCTGGCCCCCATCTTCACACAGATCTTCTACAATTGTCGATTTATATATTTTTATTCCTTATTTACTTGTTCTATTTTTTATTATCTGTGTTTTTTGTTCTGTCACTGTCATTCTGTTACACTGTGGAAGCTTCTGTCACGAAAACAAATTCCTCGTATGTGTAAACATACCTGGCAATAAAGCTCATTCTGATTCTGATTCTAATAGTAATATTTTTTTTCTCTTTAAGACTGGTCTACACATTTTTTTTTTAAAGTCAGTTACATAAAAGGCAGATTGGTATAATTTAAATCCCAACAGTAAGACTGATTACCATTTGGTTAACTGCTAGATGTTCAGACTAGTGGTTCTTGAGAGACAGCCTTAACATGGTGGCTATGTTTATGCAACTGGAATATCTTAAAGACATGGGAGTGGATCTAATAAGTAACCACTTAGAATACCCTAGCAACCACCTAAAATTCCAAAGCAACCACAAAGCAATGTGCTTAAACACCACTGAGAAGACTTTAGCAATCATATAGCAACTGAACTGTGTACAATAAAACCAAGGACATAATTTTTGGTCATTTTTGGTTGGTTTGTTGGATATCATGATCTAACAATAACCTATTTTTAACAGCATTTAATAATCGAGCATGATGTTCATTTATAAAAACGGAAATGTTAAATATGTATTAGTATACTATACGCAGAAGTTAAGCTTAAAGGATGCTTTAAAAGTGTTTTTCGTTGTTTTTTTGTGTTAGCTATTGATTTACAGAACTAATGTGAGCATGTTACCTTATTGTAATATGATACCAGGTCTTCATATTATCTTTCAACTATTACATGAGGCTTGAAGGGGGAACAAAGTAGGTGCCAAATCTGCTGTCACTCTGATGATTTAGTCTGGTGATTGGCTTGCCATTGTTCTATGTAGGCTTTGATATGCATTAAATGGAAATAAAAATTAATAATGTGAGGTTTCAAATCACATTTGCATACAGTGAGAGTCTTCTTGGCATTCAGGTTGAGCCTTGTTTCACAGTTAGTTTTCATTACCCATCAAAATGCTCAATGAAGCACTTCAAATATGAGAACATCCCTTTTGGATGGTCTGTTGTGGTTTTAACTATGACAAACAACTCGTAAAAAAAGAAAACTCTGAATCTCTTTTCACATGGCTGTGGACAGTCTTTGAGGATTATGAAGTCAAGCCATTCTCCTCTGATGACGTGAAGCAGGGCTGGGATTGATTCTGACAAGGGTTTCTTGGCCCTTCTTTGCTGTTCCCTCACTTGTGAAGGTGAAGCCCCTTAGGACGCTGGGAAGGCGACTGTGATTGGCACAAGGGTCTTTACTGTGAAAGCAGCTGGAATCAATTAATGCATCACAATTTGTCCAAGAGGCTCGTGGAGACCCCTCCAAGTCACACTGGGGACAAACCACAGTATAGAAACTCCCAAACACCTGACTCCATCTCACGTAGGACTTTCCCTGCAATGAAAATAATCAGTTGACTTATGAATGAGAGCCACGTTTTCACTTTGAAGAGAGCTATTAACCTTCTCAGGACTTGACATTTACGCGCACTCGCACAGGCTTGACGGTCGTGTTGGGCGTTGGTCCCCCAATGGATTGGTTCCAGCTTCATACAAAATATTGCTGCCATTAATCACCAGAGCTAATCTTCTCCATGCATAAACATCACCTCTGAGGACATCTGTTTTCTCAGGCTTTTTAGCCAAAGATCAGGGGAAATCGTAAAAAGTTGAACTCTCGCTTTTCACGTAATGTAAAAAAGAACCTTATTTCACATTTAATACAGTTGTGTTTAATCAGTGAAGCTGAATTTGGACCTTTGGTGACGGTTGAAAATGTTTCATCCGAAGCTGCTGCATTAAACCTTGCGATAGTGTGATAAATACAGTATTTTAGCCAAACAGCATGAGACATAACTGAACTGAACGGACAGAACTGGAAACCAGAACCTTGTCGTTTTATTATTTATTTCTGACAAAGAGCCAAAGTTGCATGTAACCGCCAGTTTCTAGACACTGACTAGTGGTTAAAGTAGTTTTCCTGATTCGATCCATTGTTACTTCTAGGTCTCGCAAAATAAGTAGGCAATTTAAAAACCACCAAAGTCATGGATATTTTGTTAATATTTGCTCTGACCATAATTTCACTATACCCATTTTTTTTTTTTTTTTACAAAATTGTGCTATGCATCATGACATATTACACTTGGTCAATTCGGTTAAAATATTTGTTGTGATTTAACATGGCTTTAAAAAAATATGCAACTTAAGACAACTGAAATTGGAGTAACAATTTACATTCTCAAGTAAATTGAAGATTTGGATATTATTGTAGCAATTATAATAGATTTTCAGTGGCGCTTGCTAATGTACGTGCACTATGCTACGAAAGCGGTTCTGATAATCTACTGGACATTCAGGGCAAAGGACGAAGCGAGCACATAATAGTACGTAATCAGTTAAAGAAAACAGCACTATGGGCCGTGTGTCTGAGATGATTTACTTGGCCTCATTTACTGGTGTTTTCTTTCCAGCCTCATTAGATGTCATTGTTTGCATTTAGCTTTCACACTGAGCGCTGCGGTCATTGGGGGGTTTCAGTCCAAGCAAAATGTTGATGATCCTCATTGTATGGCATAGAAGAAAAAGAAAAAGTGCTTTGCACTAGGTTAACCCAGTTAATGGCCGAACTCAAAACAGACACGGTTCTGTGTGTCTATTCTGCACCATAACCGATTCTACTTGATCTGAAAGACAGGCTTGTTTATGGTTAATGCTGAAGAAAATGGGTACAGATTCAATCATGAGACGTCTTTACTTTGATAAACTATGGGCACTGTGATGCTGCCTGTAGCTGTATCATGATGAATTACAAAAGCATCTGCCATTTGAATTTGGATGCACTGATATGGCTAACATTATGGATGCTATCCAAAGTTTTGCCTGTTTTCCTCATTTGTAGGCTTCTCATGTTTCAATGTCATTCGATCTTTCAGATACGGAGGTTTGTGACTTTGGCTGGAACAAGTTTCAGAGCCACTGCTATAAGTACTTCACACACCGGCGGACATGGGAAGCAGCGGAAAGAGAGTGTCGTCTGCAGGGCGGTCACCTCACCAGCGTCCTGTCCCATGAAGAGCAGCTCTTTGTTAATCGTGAGTTTATGATTTTATAGAGTTTATGAATGGTATTGGCAAAGCAGACATCAGTCATTTTATTGCTCACTCTTGATAGGGCCTGAACAAACCATTAACTCTTTTACTTTGTAACTCTTTAAGTATTGTATAGAGTGCTGTAGATGACGTATTTTTGTAGGCCAAACCAGAAAAACTCTCAGACACCAACAAACGTTTTTAATTGTTCAGCATGATAATCTTCAGAATTGAACGCAACGTTTATGAATTCTAAAGCCTAAATGCAATTGGTAGAAGTACAAAGCTAAACGTAGGCTATAAACGAACTACAACATGTTTGCATGACATTTTCCCTGACAATCTGAGTTAGAACAGTTTGCAAAAGCATGATTCTAAACACAATGAGGCTGTAAAAGCAACTAGTTAAGCGTGATGATGTTTTATGTCCCGACAACCTCTGTAGGCCCTTTTAGACACTTGTTAGCAACTGCCATTTTCAAGACAGGTAAAAGCTTTAAATTATTACTGATGTATTTTTGTCCTAGAATAAAACATGAAAATATTCTGAGCTTGTGTTCACCACAGACCTTATTTTAGACATTTAGCCAAAAACGAATTCAAAAAAGTCCATTGACGTGCTAAAATGCTAACTTGCCAGAGTTTGGCCATTTGTAGCACTTTATAGCAATGCTCTAAAAACTACAAAAACCTTTTGGAATCTGTATAGCAATGCTTTTGGCAAATGCCCGCAGCAGTGCGTGGTGTTGAGTTTTGCACAGGCACATTTCCATCAAATCTAGTTTCAAATGAGGCAAAAAACAGATACTCAGGACTAACTGAATTCTAGCACTGACTAAACAAATCATAATTCGTAATAAAAGTGCACTCTAAACTCTAAAAAAGTAAACTCTAAACTAAACAGCTCCTCGAGGCACAGAAACGATTTGTTCTACATTTGTTTGTGTCATGTGATGTGTGGTTTGGTTTAACTGATTTCCTGCTATTTTTACTTTGTCCAGGTAGTCTTTTTAAAGATGTCAAAGAAGTTTGCATAGGTCCTCAAACCAAAAAGATGAATGAATTTCTTCCATTTCTCTGGGCTTCCATATAGACTTTTGTTTTTTTGTTGTTTTTTTTTATAAAAAATGCACATCCACTAGCTTAAAGATGTCGTTTTTCTGTGTTATAAAATGCTTTCTCTTTCCCAGTTTAATATGCAGAGACAAATACAAGTAGATTGATTGTCCCGAAGAGTATAAACACTGGTGCTATCAAAACATTCCTCTGTTTGTTTGAGTTTCCCGGCCAGTCTGACACAGCAGTTTGAGTTTGGAGTGGGAACTTTCCATTTTTCCCACCGACAAGCAGATACAAATAGTAGAAATTAGTCAAATACACAACTTGTCCACTTCATCCCAAGTCATATGATAGTTTGTGTGGACTAGTTTGGCAGAGATATATACTGAAATCTGTGTAATTGTCTTGTAGGTTTGGGACATGACTATCAGTGGATCGGACTGAATGATAAAATGTTTGACAATGATTTCCGCTGGACTGATGGACACCCTATGGTAAGATGGGATTCATTATTTTGATCCTAAAATGTCTGTTTATTAGATGAACATCTGTGTTCCAGGTGACCATGAATTCAGATATTAAGATTCAGATATGAGTCATTCTTGGCGTGTTGTTTTTTTTCCGGCCTGAATAAATGAGGTTGTTTGATCCTAAAATTAGTGCGAAGCAATTGTGCACAGTTATTAAAATCACAGTATAAAAATGTGTTCCATAAACCATAAGCTTAGATGAAGTAGATGAAGCTAATGCTAATGGAAAAGTTCTCACTTTAGCATTTTATCATTCTGTGTGGTATCACATAGAGAGGCACATCACATGAACTTTATTTATTTATTTATTTGCTTTTTAAAATTGATTTCTGATCATTTATTTATTCATTTAGCTGTTTTATTCATCGTTTATTTACTTTTTTATTTGAGTGATTTTATTCATGCATTTTTATGTATGCATGTATTTATTTATTTACTAAAATAGCATAAATCAGAATGCAAAACTGCTAATTTTGCAGACATTCAATTTTTGCAAAAACATTCAATTGATTTTGATGATCTTGCGTCATCATGCATATTTGATATTTATTTGATTTGTTGTATGCCTTTCTACATATGAAATGGGGTTTGAATGTTTGTGTTCAACTCATGCAAATTGTATGCAGCAGTACATTTTATTAGAATAACATAGCATCCCTTTCCCCCCATTTTATCAAGGTAAGTCCCATGTAACCCTGCCAGATGTGTATAGAGCACGGTGTTTTGATTCTTCCATGTGATCTTTGCGCCCTCATGTGGGCACATGCAGTGGTGCAAGAGCAGTTGTTGAGAACTGGAGAGTGGGTCAGCCAGACAGCTTCTTCTCCACAGGCGAGGACTGCGTTGTGATGATCTGGCATGCGAGCGGCCAGTGGAACGACGTGCCGTGCAATTACCACCTGACCTTCACCTGCAAGAAGGGTACAGGTGAGACCTCCTCTTCCCCCTCATCTAATCTACAGTATTGCTCACTGTCAGCTCACTGTATCCCTCTGTCTCAGTGTCCTGCGGTCAGCCTCCTGTCATAAAGGACGCCCAAATCTATGGCAGCATGAAGGCACGCTATGAGATCAACTCTCTGGTCAGGTACCACTGCAAGGACGGCTTCATCCAAAGACACGTTCCCACTATCAGATGCCGAGAAGACGGCCACTGGGACAAGCCCAAAATCACATGCTTGAATCGTAAGTTGCTGGCTCTGAATAAATAGATGTTTAGTGAAATCCAGTCATGAAATGCACTAGTGTTATTTTAGTATTATTTATAATAACATTTTATATAAAACATTTTGAATTAGTCTTTATTTATATATTTTGATTTTGTTATGCTTTTGTCATTTTTATAATTTTTTTTTATATATCTATGCATTTATTTGTATATCAGTTATTTCAGTTAGTTAATGTCTTACTCAAGTCAAGACATATTGAAATACATTTTTATTTTAAGTTCCACTTTAAGGATTAGTTCACTTCCAGAATAAAAATTTCCTGATAATTTACCTAAACCCATGTCCTCCAAGACGTTCATGTCTTTCTTTCTTCAGTCGAAAGAAATTTTTCTCCATATAGTGGATTTCAATGGCGGTCAGCGGGTTGAAGGTCCAAATTGCAGTTTCAGTGCAGCTTCAAAGGGCTCTACACGATCCCAGCCGAAAAACGGCCATTTGGACCTTCAACCCGTTGGCCGCCATTGAAGTCCACTATATGGAGAAAAATCCTGGAATGTTTTCCTCAAAAAACTTTAATTTATTTGTGACTGAAGAAAGAAAGACATGAACATCTTGGATGACATGGGGGGTGAGTAAATTATCTGGAAATTTTTATTCTGGAAGTGAACTAATCCTTTAAGAAAGAATGTCATGTGGTTTTGGAAGTGAGGATGAGGAAATAATGACAGAATTTTCATTTTTGGGTAAACTATCCTTTTGAATTAACATCTCTTTTTCCTTTTATTCTGCAGCATCTACCTACCAGAAGATGTATGCACACAAATATCAAAACAATAACTATTACAACAACAGTAAGATACGCTATAGCGAGTCGACGCAGTACCGTCATGTCTGGTCAAAAACAGCAGATGATTCCAGACACTGATCTCCATCCAGAGCTACAGATGCTTCACATCTACAGAGAAAGTCTAAAGGGGTGAAGCCAAACCATGTGCCTGATGAATGTTTTCGAGCCGAGAAGTGAATTACCCTGAGGGGCTGCAAAAAAACACCATCACCCACCCACTGAGAGTGTACTTTGACTATGCAACAGTCAACATTGCATATTGTAATAATGTCTTAATGTTTTGACATGGGGAGGGGGGTTTCTTATTGAAATGTATATAGTAGAGATAATGAACAAGTAAAAACAGCTGTGAATGGTGACTGTTATTTTGTTTAATTCATCCATAACTTTTGCTTACGAAGAACTGGATTTCCTGTTCTCTCTGGCACAATAAGAGTGCACTATGGTACGAGCAGAGTATAAACAGAACAATTACAGTACGCAAGAGTAAAAGAACAATAGGCATTATATTGTTTCACATTGTGGTGAGGGGGGTTCAAAAGAGATGTCACGGGGCTGGAGGACAAACAATGCTGAAAGGACTGCAAATCATGACTGGAAAACAAATCTTCAACATCGTCTTCCCCGGCAGCATCCTCACTGGTTGTGAGGATTACTCAGATAACATCAAACCATTGTACACTCTCATAATCATATTCTCATATGGCATCAAAATATATATTTCCGGTGTTTGTTTTTTAATATGTGGGTTTGTAATATAACCATTTTTACTTTTTATATATATATATATATATATATATATATGAATGTCATGATAAAATATGAAAATATGAATACTGTATGTGTGGTTGAATGAACTAGCATTTTTGTCAAACATTATTACAAATGTTACATGAAGCCATAGAAGTTTAATTTATTGCTGAAGATACATATAACGATGAATGAACTGTGAGATTTTGAATAATAAAGCGCTATTAGAATATTATGAACACGTTTAAACCGTGTGTGTTCTTGTTTGATTGCATTTCACAAAAATCCCGCGCTAATTCTGACAGAAACCGCCGCTACCATGGTGTTGACCAAAAGAGGGCGATGTAACGGTTACGGAGATTTTTTTCGTGAAGTTGACATGTGACCGTAATGAAAAGACACCTGCTCTGTTTTGACGACTTTCTAATCGACTAACGTGCAATCGTTGCAAGGTAAGGACGTGGATGTTTAAAGGTCAATGTTCATTTTGAGATTACATCTTTTAACTCTGGCAAGCTTCTGGTGAGTTTTCTGAGCGATTTGGCAAGCAAAATAACATTTAGACTACGACTGTTTCTTTTTACCTGACCTGAATAACTTAGAATACACAGTGGCCATAGCCATCTTTAGTTATTGTAGTTTTGTGGCATTATTCCATGTCTGTGGGCCAACTTTCTGTATGTGCTAGTCAGATTGTGTATTTCTAAAACTGACCAAACTTTTTAGTTGCTCCATTTCGTCCGAGAAAACGGACCAAAAGTATTAGTGACTTCTAGATTGATTATTGCACGTTAGGTGTGTATACACAGTTTTGTCCAATAAAATGGTAATTAGAAATATGTCTGCCCCTAATACCATGGAGTATCCTTGGAGAAAACTGTTAGATTTTTAGAGACAGTGAATGAGAAAAATCATAACGCTTAATATGGTAGCTATACTCATGGAAGTACCACCTTTAAAAGGTCCAATTGCCTGTTTATTTACAGTAAACACACAGTTGAATAAGGTAGACAAGCTTTCCGGGGTTGCAGAGAAAGAAACAATGTTTGTGATGCCATCATTGTCAGATTTTTCTGGTTTGAAAGATATGATTAAACAGTTTTAACAGTTTTTGAGATATGCAACCTTTTGCCTGCAATAATGCTCTTGGGCTTTTAATTTTGAGGACATTTTTTTTTATTAAGCCAGTCACCTGATTTCTATTTTACTTGCAATTTCTTTATTTTGGCAGAGTGTGAGAAATGCCACAGACTGTAAAAACTAGACCTCTGTCATTTTTACATAATTTCTCAGTGTGCTTTTCTAAAAACAACCAAACCAAATATGTATTTGACTGATTGTTTATTTTTTGGGTCAAGGGGGTTTTCCACATTGATACAGTCAAATTATCCCTTTAATTATACTTTATGTACATGAAACAAGAGTGAAAAATGTTAACATCGTCTATGAAGACATGTCTAAACATTCAGTTCTAAAACTGATTTTGAAGATTTGTAAACAAGGCATACCTACAGTTGCCAGAGTCAAAACAACATGAATAATGAATGTGAATACAGTATTTTGAAACAACAAATATTTAGAACTTTATTTTTTCATTTTTTCCCCCGTGAAGCTGGTCATTTAGTGTAGTGGCTGAAACACATGACCTTGAGTTCTAAATTGGCTGTGTTCAGCCTAATGGTAATAATAATAAGAATAAAACAAGTTGTTTTTGTCTTAGCTTGGCAGTCTGTTTTAATGGTTTATTTCCAAATGCCATGGCTTTGACATGTTCTTCTGAAGGTCTACTGCTTCATAGACTAATAACGACTGAATGCAGCATGCTAACTATGCACTTTTTTGTTGTGCCATTATTTTTTGCGTCATCTTTGAGTAAACCTTTTCCTGCAAGGTCTTTTTTTTCAATAGAAAATTAAGTTCATTGTGCTGTTTTTCTTTTACTAAGTAACACAACGTGATCATTAGAACTGTTGTCTTTTTAACCACTTCAGTCTTGCTATTCATAAACTGTAACATGCATAGACTAAAACTACTCATCACGTGCTAGAAACTGGGCCGTGTGCTTTTTTTTTTCACACAACTTCTAGTAAACTAATTTGTACTAAAATTTGTTTTAACATTTGGCACCATTTGCTATGGGCTATGTTTGAGGATAGGTTTTCTGTGGTTTCATAAATTGATCAGAAATACTAAAAACAAGTTCTAGAAAACAAACCAAGATTTACTTTTGAAACACAATGGTTTTGTTATTATGTCTATGGTATGAACCACAGATTTCTTCATCGTCCTGAACACAAAGAACGTTTGACAGTGACGAGGTCGATACAGTGGAGCTCTTAATTTCTTATATTGTATCGTAGGGGAGGCATTGTATAAACACAGTTTCAAGAAAAAGAGAATTAACATACATTTATAAACACTCTACTTGTATATTTCAATAGTTAAAAAAAATCACAGAACAATGTTTCGTTTCTTAACAATGTGACTTATGACTCAACATGGTTTGGTCCACACATAAAACTAAATTTAAAAAGGTATGCTTTTAGAAAATAATACAATATAGCACCCTGTAAGGATGGCAAAAGAAAAAATTGTGTACATTGTGCCATGGCTGTACTGTATGGTTTTTAGCACTTTCATTGAATTTGTTTTCCTGTTAACAGAAAATATATTTTTCACATGCTATTTATATGGGATATGATGTTCTTGAATGATAAACTAAGTGCCCAAAGGTATCAGTTCAAAGTATTTAAGCTTTGCCGTCATACTGTTCTAGAACATTCCTCAAGCTACTGCATGCTAAATGGAAGAGAGCAGTTCGAATTTCTTCTGCAATCTCACCAAATATCTCTTCCTTCAGCACTGCTGTACTGTATAAGATCATTCAGACCTGGAACCAGTAGCTATAATTTCTGCAGCACCCAATGAATACTATTCCTGTCCTGTTGCCTTCTCGTAGCGAAGTCCTGATTTTGAAGGAAGAGGGCGCCTGAGGTGCCTAATTCTACAGAATCTTTGCTTCAAACAAACGGCAATCAAATTATTTTATATTCAAATCCTTCTGTATTACAGTATCTAGAGACTTTGTCACAGTTTTAATGCACTCAAACTAACTCCTTACATTATTATGCTTAGTTCGTGAGTTATACAGTTGGTACGCTCAGTTGTCGCTCTTGTAGCAGTAGACGCCATAGAGTTTGTGCTTCTTGTCTGGGAATCCAGAGAAGCGGACAGCGGCCTCCGTGGGACTGCAGCGTCTGCGTGGTCTTGAGATTGGGTAGCGTACACTGCCATCCGCCAGCCAGCCTGCGTCACAGCGGTCGTAGCCCAGCAGCTTCCACGCTGCGTACATCTGCCCGACTTTAGCGATCTGAGCGCCATCCTTTTGACACGCCCGCACTGCCTCGTCATACGTAAGTTTGAAAGGGTGTATCAAGTAATAGAAACGTCCTAGAGAAGAGAAAGGGGAAAAGTGTTTATTCTCAAATAATATGCAGTAAGGGTATTAAAGAGGAAGAGAATTTTCATCAGAGATTCTTTGCATGGCTGAACTCAATTTGTTTTTTCCTTTCATACATTATGTATCACATCAGTTGCTTTACTTTTTTTTGGACAAGCTAGCCTATTTCAGATGTCTTTCAAACGGTGGGGAGGACAAACCTTTGTAGTTAGAGGTGAAACAGAAGACATCATATCTTTCCTTTTGCTTGTCACGCATCCCATAATTCCTCACACCAGGAATGGTGTTTTTGCCTCCACATGGCTCTCTGGGTTTGGTGATGGGGTACTGCACCGATCCGTCACTGAGCCACCCTGCATTGCACCAATCCAACCCATCTCTCCATGCATCGTACAGCTGGTCAAAAGATGCCACAATGGCATCCTGGTCTCGGCAAGCTTTCTCAGCATCAGCGAAGTTCAGGTTGTAACGACCCAGTCGAGGAGAATGTGGGAAAACAATGCCTGTAGAAACCCGAAGAGCAAAAAATGTATGAAATCGGATTTTTTTGCATATAGGAATCTTTAAAAATGCTCCCTGATTAGATCTGTGTAATCTGGCGATAATCAAATTCTTGATTGATAAGTCGATGTTTTCTTCAATGCATCATCTAAAGTAAATTAAAATTTAGATTTATTGTATGCAACTGAAATGATGCCAAGAATGCAGAGAGCAAGGACCAAATAAATGTCCCATTATTTGGCAATGATAGCTCTTATGTCAGGATCTTGCTGATGGTCTAGATTTATAAGTTGTTCTGCTCTGCATTATAAGACTATTGAATAGCGTTTACATTGCACACAGTGTGAAGAGAGTCAGCACAATGCTATCTCATAGCTAACTGCCTTGAGGAACAGCCAAGGATGCATAAACTGTGTATAGTATTGTGTATTATTCTGGAAAGAAAACAGCCAGTCATACAATGGCATTGTCGCTGTTTTTTCATCTGTGTGGCCATTTTGTAGAGTTTCTTAAAAACTTGTGCTAACTTGTGTACCTATCTTAAGTTATGTTTGAAGAAAGCAGGATATGTACACAAAATATTAATATAACCTAATGACAACTGTCAAAGACATGATTTTTTTTTTGTAAAGATTATTGTTGGGTGCTGGTCTACATGGTAGATGTGCCTAGTCATGTTGTTCACCAGCAAAACTTAAAAAAAAAAAGGATTAAACTGTTTGACCCAAGAAATCTTGCTAGTCAATCTATTTTTAAAGCATGGTATAGTGACATTACCACACCAGCATCTAAATCCTCAGGAACAAAATTAAAACAACCTGTGAGACATTGTGGTAGTGCTTGGCTAAATGTCACTAGAGAGACCAGGAAAATCCAGGTATGTTAGCAACATAAATCTATGCTTTACCTTGCAGGTCAAGTGAGACAACTGCTATATCATCCTCCAAGCCATCAATGATTTCACACTTGTATTTCCCATAATCCTC